AGATGCATTTTGCCGCTAGACGGCGCGGCTTATAGCGAAGGTGTATCAGAAAATCTATCCAAACAAGTGAGCACACATGCCATTTTGACGAGAAAGAAATATGAAGGTGACTTGATGACAAACATAAAGAGATATGATGATGGTCAGTTGTTTGCGCTTCTAGATGGCCGTTACGGAATGACGCTGACAATCTGGTCGCACCTGGTGGATTGAAAACGTAAGCAGCAAATCAGGGCCTGTGTTACAAATCACATTTGTTGAACTGTTTAGTCTTATTTGTATAAAGCGCTGCTGGATTAGTCAATACGTACTAATAATGTTATATTTAGTAGATGATGCAAGAGTTCCGATACGGGAAACACCATCGGTCTAAATTTATTCAAATTAGAATAAATGCGAATCAAAACAGAGATGCCGTACATTATGTTGCACAATATTTGAAACATTTTGTCAATTGTATTGTATACCGTCTTCTTCCGCGCTGTTGCGTTCAATCATAACGTGAGTGTATTACAAGTGTATTGCATTGTGGGAAAATGAAAACGAGGCATCCGAGTATGCCAAATACTGTTCTATTTTATTTTTGTACATTTTGTAAAACCAACCAGGCCATGCCAGGTTTTCTAGGGTCGACAAACTGTACACGTGCGGTGATAGAAACTTCAGAATTATGCAAGGGTTACTGAGATGTCACGTGACAAAATAAGGGTCGATGGGATAGCTATTAAAAATGTAGGAATAATGCATATCTACTGAATTTGTCAGAAACACCTGCTACCAGCGCAAGCCCAGTGCTACCGGACCTGCTTTTCTATCGTAATATAATGGCAGCACTATTGTGGTGTTTTAAAGGCTGAGTCTACCCGTCCACAAAATAAAAACAATTATATTTTATAATTCTCATATCGACATGTGAACGAAATCTCCGACAGCTGGACTCGAAGGGAACAGTTCTTCGTTGTTAAGGCTTTATAAACCCTACATATGCCTTTACAGTCTGTCGGTTTACTTCGTACTTCAGATGACCTCGCTTCGTACTGCAGGAGTAACCGGCCGCTTTCATAGAGTAGAGCGACGCCAGTGACAATAAGTAGTATTACCTTTGTTCAGAGTTACACCTTCCGTATGCAACCTCCACGAGGAGCAACAAAAACAAAAGCAATACAATACAACACCAGGCGGCGCTTTTTACAGAAACGCAAACACGAGCAGGTGCATTCTTCCTATGTTACCTCGTTACAAGATACCTAAAAGTCATATTCATTTGTGAATAAATGTCAGTCTAATTCGTGACAAGCTCTTGAACTTGAGACCTTGACCCACTCATATCCCATACAAGCCGTCAATCGCCTTTGCTCACCTCAGATTTCAACAGAGAAGAATTGTTTGTAAACCTGAATACACGCTTTCTACGAGAGTTCGTTTCAACGAGAGTTCGGCGGCCATTTTACGTGATTTTAATTTCAATTTTATAACAAATGTTTTTTTATCAAAATTCTATTTTATATAATTTATATTCACTAACATTTCACTAGTGGTTAAGGTTTTGGATCAAAGGTATTTTTTTAAAGTTTGACATTTGTGGTTGGTTCTGGTTAGAGAAAGTCTCACAGTATCAAGGACTATTTTTGCGCGAAATGGTTCAAATGTGGAACAAGGCGATGAGAGGGTTCCGTTACATCATTTTAATCAAGTGAGTATTTCATGATTACTTTTAACATGCATGTTGCGCACTACCACAACAAATCTCATCATTCGCTGGAACTTACCAGTCCCTGCGTAGATGTTTTCATTTTCGGAACAAGAATTACTGCATCTTCTTTCAACGTCGATGGGATTATAGTTTGCATAGGTCACCGAAAGCTGTTGAACAGAACAAAAAGAATTTTCATTTCAAAAACAGTGAAAACAAGATATTGTGAAGAACCGACAAATATTTCAAAATTGACCCATGTTAATACAAATACCCAGAATGCATTTATTTTGTAATAAATTGTACTCCCGGCCAATATAAAGATAATATCATCAACTTTGGGGTCGCCAGCCTAGTTTTCGAAAGCATTATGTATTTTAGTAAATGACGTCGATTTTATCAGTGGTATATATTTTCCCATTGGTCACTTTATGACGTAGAGTATGCCAAATAACAAATTGTAAAATGATGACAAACTATATATCGCCCCCGTGGCATAGTTTTTATTACTGACAACAATGCATTGTTGTCCAACTATGAAGTTGTTACTTTATAATAACAATTTTTCAAAAAGTTACACAATTCTCGTTATGTTACTGTAACACACACATAATGTTATCAGAACGCTGTTTCATGTTACCATGAAACTATTGCTTCATGCTATGGTTTTACATATTAAAGTTTTATAAATCAATAGAACACTGCCATGTGATTTGTGATCAACTTTCTTTTAAAAATAGACATCTCCATTAAAGCGACACAGTCGTTGCAAAACGCGTGTTCGAATGTCATGTTAAACAAAATATTAAAAAGTAATTTGTGCCGTACCTATTGTGTCATATGGGACCCACGACTTGGTGCGGTGACTGTGGTCGAGAGCTGAGATAACAATGTGTGATAACAATTTTATAAATACTTTTTAATTTCTTGGACGAGGACGGATGATCACTGGGAGGAGGGGTAACTGTGCGCATGTGTTATTATTCCTACGTCATTGTGCATTACGTCATTATTACTGAATGGATGTAACGCATGACCTACCTCACATTGGTCGTCCGAGGAGTCGCACACTTCGGTCCCGGTTGTTCCTACTGTTATGTGTTTGCAGTCGTCGTCACCACCTGTAATGGAGTTCCAGGAGCACGAGTAGCACGTGAGGGTGCTCACACCTGTGTGCAAAGTAACTATATTTGAATTATACTAGAATACACTTAAAATTATATTTTATAAAATATATTTAAAAAATAATACTTAAATAAATATTGCGAAACTAGAATACATTACCTAGTTATATTACCAACCAAAAATATACAGAGCGACAAACGCTTTCAGTTTGACTACAAACTTGGGTGTAAAAATCACCGGGAACGAGACTGGCCTGAATACGTGGGCCACATTGTCGCGAACCACTTTGCACAACGTCGGCCATCTTGGAAACTATCGCATCCTCGTTCCGTATTTAGGATTTGCATTTCTCAATACGCTGTGATGCAATCCCGCCTCGTCCTTACGTATATACGATAGTAGTGTAGTGGGGTTACTGGACATAATTTTTCTATAAGAGCTATGTTTAATGGTTCAAAACTGCTTTCTCACTGTACGAGGAGCGGTCTCAGGCTACTTACCATTGGCAGCAACAACCACCGCGATGACAACGAACCCAAGAGGCAGACCGTGATGCATTTTTGATCAAATTTACCTGCGAATGAAAAGTTACACTTTTATAATTCACTTGACGAGCGAACAAATATACTCGTAAATTTGTTTGAACTAATTGGTTCTAACGGAAACAGATAATAACAATAAAACATGTCAGCTTCACAAAAAGAGGGTTAGGTCACCTCTCGCTGCGAGCCGTGAACAAAGAGGGCGCTCTAACAAAATGCATAGTTGCTTGTTTGCGACAACAAGCGGTAAAACAACGCATTATAAAAAAATATGTCACAAATGTGTTGAGGGACATCGAAAAGAAACGTCCCACGACCGCCACAAACTGTGAAAGTTGCTGTTTTAAGCTAAGAGTGATGTTTTTGTTTTTGTTTTGTTTTTCTCAGATTTTTGTAAACACGATTTCCATGTGAGAGCGAGTTAAATCATTTAAATAAATAAAAAAACTTGTTTTCCTGCTTAATGCAAATACGTTGATTATTTGTTCTTTATTGATTCCAAACTTACGAAATACAATTTTTAAACACACAACAATTCTGTACATGATATAAAGAGGTCCCATAAGTCTGGGGTAACTCATACTAATAACATATTTATACACTGTCAGTATATCGGTGATTTGGTAATAATGCATTAGTCTGGTATAAAGGCATGATTGGTTTCCATGGAGATGAAAACATCTAACAACTGATGAAAACTGATTATAATATTGAATTAAAACTAACTAACCAGTTTTTGATGAAACGTGATTAGTTTAGTATAGTAAACATATTCAATCAGCGAAACATGTAAAAGTGGAACAAAACATATTTGATGTTATTTGTGAGAATCTGTGTAATCTCTTGTCAATTAAGGCATAGCTAGATGCATTTTTTAAAAATCTGCCTATGTCTATTATAATAGAATGCTGCAAGAATCATCACCCGCACTACAAAAAATATGATCACATATCTCCAGTTCTACAGAAGTTACATTGGCTACCTGTTCGTTATAGGATTGACTACAAACTTATGCTGTTGACATTCAAAGCTCTGAATGGACTTGCTCCAAACTACATTCTTGATCTAATTCATGTGTACACACCCAGTCGCTGTCTTCGTTCTTCCATTAAGAAGCTTCTCCGTAACACTAACTACAGACAGAAAACATATGCTGGACGTGCCTTCTCGTATGCTGCTCCAAAACTCTGGAATGACCTTCCACTTGATCTTCGTGAAGTTACTGATGTCAATATTTTTAAAAAGAGACTTAAGACCTACTTGTTCAGCAAAGCCTACAGTGTGGAATAACTCTACAGATTTGTAGTGTTCGCTTTCAGCGCCTTTGAACACAACTTAGTTTTGGATACCGGCGCTATATAAGTTTTTTTAGATAGATAGATAGATAATACTTTATATGCCTTCCAATTTAAAACGATCGATAGACCCTATATTACTTCATATATAAATACAATAAACATGATCCCTTTATGAAAACAAACAGTGCGTATGCATGGATAAATCAAATACCAAACTGACAGATGTTTTAATAGACGCACACTTGATGAGTCATGCTGTACTTGGGCCCAGTTACAAAGTCTATGAAGTTTTGCTTTG